AAATGTTTCCAATGACTTCCAGCTGAAGAGCAAAAGAATCAATAATATATTAGTGGGATTCATACCACTAGGAAAATATGACAACTTCTGCACTGCAGGTAACAAGAGACACAGACAGACTGTTTTAAGGACCACATATGTAACATATATTAATCCTTGTGAGTTTATCAGGCCAATCTGGACAACTTAATCAGAACGTTGAGAAAGCCATGACAGCACAACTAAAGACATTCATAGCTGAGTGTGGTGGCACATTCCTATAATCCTAGTACTGAAAAAAGTTGAGGCAGAAAGATCTAAAGTTCACGTCTCACTTGGCAAATTTAGCAAGATCCCATCTAAAATTTAAAACATAATGAAAAGGGCTGGGTTGTAGCTCAGGCCAAAGATTATTACCCCACTATAGAGAAAAAAGGAGGTATTAGCTTTCTTGGTTTATAAAATTTTTAATCTTTTGGAAGTTTTGGGCCTCTAGTAATTTCCATATATATTTTAGGATTTGGATGTGAACTTCTAACATAAAGTCTTGTTGCAGGGACTCTATATATCTTTTTTTTTTTTTTTTGAGATGGGGTCTTGTCATGTAGTTCAGGTTGGCTGCGAGCTCACACTGAAACCCAGGCTTACCTCAAACTCATAGCAAACCTCCTGCCTCAGTCTTCCAAATGCTCAGATTACAAGTGTGCACCACCATAACTGGCTCATGTATGTCAATTTACAAAGTACTGTCATCCTAACATGAAGCTAGATAGGAAGATTCATGTATATGGAATGTCTTTTGTTATATCTTTTTTTCTCTTTAGTAAAAATTTTTGCCTTAAAGTCTAATTTTTCAGTTATAGGAAAGCCGTTTTAGCTGTTGTCTAGGATTTGCATCGTAAAAATGTTTTTAACTTTTTGATTTAAGGTCTATTTTATTAGTTATTAATAAAGCCACTTCAGCACTCAATGTTTTTCAATGGGCCTCTTGTAGCATTCTATGGTTTTGGGGTTTTTGTTGTTATTGTTGTTGTTGTCTTTTTATTGGTTTTTCGAGATAGGGTTTCAGTATGTAGTATACCAGGCTGGCCTCAAACTGCAGCAATCCTCCTGTCTCAGTCTCAAGAGACTGAGACAGGAGGATTATAGACTTGGACAAGGATTATAGACTTGTGCCACCACGTCTAGCACCAATATTCTATACTTTAAACCTATGCTTTTTTGTTTATTTACAGTATTAGGGATTGAACTCAGGGGCACTCTGAATTCAATATACTCTATTCATTTCATTTCATTTCATTTATTTCTGAGTCAGGGTCTCTCTCTACGTTGCTCAGATTGACCTCAATATTGTCATTCTCCTGCCTCAGTATCCAGAGTGGCTAGGATTGCAGTGTGCTCCACTGTGTCCACCAGTTGTTACTCCTTTTAAAGTACGTTTTTTTTTCATTCTTTCCCCACCCCTCACCCCCAATTTTCCTTGAGGCTGCACTGCCATCTTAATGTGTAACAATTTGAAATCACACTAATACTATTTTTTTTTTTTTATTGTTTGTCTTTTTTGTTTGTATCGGTACCGGGGATCGAACCCACGACTGCCTGCTTGCAAGGCAGGTGCTTATGCCGCTGAGCTAAATCCCCAGCCCCTCACTAATACTATTTTAATTACAATATTGTACAAAATTGTGCTCCTAGATATATCTGTTAGTTCCTAAACCATCATTTGAACACATGAAAGACTAATCTGGTAAAATGACCAAAGAAAGTTCAATGTCAAATCTCATGTAGGAAAGTATAAGAATAGGGGGCTGGGGATTTAGCTCAGCGGCATAAGCGCCTGCCTTGCAAGCAGGCAGTCGTGAATTCAATCCCCGGTACTGATAAAAGGAAAAAGACAGGAAAAAAAAAAAAAAAGTATAAGAAGAAAAAAGACAAACGTGAGTGAGACAAATTAAGCATGCATCAAAGAAATGTTTCAAATTAGAGGAAAACTATAATGCTATTGAGGCAACTGGAAAGGTATCAAAAGTATATAAAAGTGAGTAACTTAACTCCTATTTCCTTAATTAAAATTTTTGCAATGTTTCAACATTAATAAAAGTTTATACCTTTTTCTAAAGTTAATTATAAAAAAATTAAGCATAGGGGTTGGGACTGTAGTTCAGTGGTAGAGCACATGCCTAGCATGCCTAGCTGTGGGTTTAATCCCTAATACCAAAAGAAAGTCCTATATCAATGCTAGTCATGATGACACTCACCTATAGCACCATTTGCTTGAGTTCAGGAAGTTGAGACCAGCCTGTACAACACAATGTGACCCTATCTCAAGGGCAAAAATAAATAATGAACTATATTATCAGGTAATGGATTAGATTTTACTGGGACTCAGTCATGGCCATTTTAAAATATATTCTGTAGCTGATTGGGGGAGGGGGGGTTTACCAGAAATAGAACTCAGGACCTCAAGCTTGCCAGGCAGCCACTGTGCCACTTAGCTATATCCCTAACCCTTGGATTAGATCTTAGAAACAATACTAATCCTTTACAATAATGCACACCTTACTAAACGTGCCCCCTCCTAATATATTTTATATCCTCATTAACTCTGCTATGCTCTACCCGCTATTGTCAAACACACAAATCTCACTTGACCTTCAGAGCCTTTATGGGGCTATTGATTCTTGTAATATTTTCCCTCATATACTCAAACAATCTGATCTCTTACTTCAGATCCCTATATGAATGTTATCACCTCAAAAAAGGGTTCTTAAAAATAAGGAGGCGGGGGGGGGCTTAGCACTCTATATTATGTAAACATGCCCTATTCTTATTTCCTATCCTTCAGAGAATAATTCACTTCATTTACTACCTAGTATTGTTTTTATGTATTTGGTGTGTATCTTAATTTCCATAAAAGATTAGCTATCTTTTTAATAATCTCCATAGTTACTGGAACATTATCTGTCCTATTCAGTATTTCCAGACTGATAGTGCCAGACTCAAGAATAATCAAATATTTGCCATATATAGAAATAGATGTATTTTTAAAGAATAGAGCTCTATATATAGATCTACAAAAAAGCATGTAGAATTAAAATTCTGCACCATGAAAAAGCCTATCTTCCATGGAAGAATGCCTGTCACTAGACCAACTGGGAGAGAAATGTAAGAATAACAAGTAGATACGGAAGTAACACGGAAAATCATGCTACCTCATATTATGATTCTCATGCTATGATTCTCTTTTTCTCTCCACATTAGATGGCTTTTCTCTAATGAGAAAGGAGCTTTCTAATCAAAATTTCAAGGATGTGTTTACCAAAAGAGTTGGTCACTTCCTCATGGACTTATTTACACAAATGGCTTCAGCTTCCGTACCTGTACACTCTCCTCTTATTTCTTTCCTCACAACCATCCAAGGTTCCTGTCCTCGCTCCAGTAAGGTAATTATATGTGGCTTAGAAAAGGAATGTCCTGGATACAAAGAAAAGCAAGGATCATAGGATGCAGAAATAAACTTTAAAAGTCAAAATTTAATTTATAATTATAGTAAGTGACAAGTCATAATGATACCGAGTATGGAGATGAGTGAAATAAAAAATTAGTTACATAGGGGCTGGGGATTTAGCTCAGCAGTATAAGCACCTGCCTTGCAAGCAGGCGGTCGTGACTTCGATCTCTGGTACCAATAAAAATGAAAAAGACAAAAAAAAAAAAATTAGTTACATAAAGTCAATATTTTTTTTCCCTTAAAGTCATGTATCCACTGGGCATGGTAGTACATATCTCTAATCCCAGAACTTGAGGGGTAGAGCAGGAGGATCACTCTGAGTTTGAGTCCAGCCTGAACTACATAGACCCTGTCTCAAAAAAACCAATAAATAGGGCGGGGGATTTAGCTCAGCGGCATAAGCACCTGCCTTGCAAGCAGGCAGCATGAGTTCGATCCCTGGTACCGATAAAAAGTTAAAAAAAAAAAAAAAAAAAAAGAGCAAAAAAACCCCAATAAATAAATAAAGTCAAGTAAATAAATAACAAAGTCAAGTAATATGTCCTCTAATTCTTATGAAGGAACAAGCATAATGTGACTGAAAACACATACTGTAGAGCCTGGGATCAAATCTTGACTTTGCTACTTTCTAGCTGGCTATGCTCTTGGTATGTCCCTTAAACCCCTGGTTTCTCAGCATTCTCACTTATAAAATTGGGAAAATAACAGGACTGTTGAAAAGACTTTGAGTTAGATGACATGGATGTAAAGTAACTAGAAAAATGTCTGATATATACTAATTCCAATGTAAACTGTTACTATATTATTGTAATTGTTTTACTAAAAGCATACAAGATGAGAGAGCCATAGCATATTCATTCTATTTTACATGTAATATTCATAGATTACAAATTTTGACCATTAGTAAAATAAACTCTGTCTTAGGAAATGGGTTACTTTATCTGTTTTAGAAGAATTTCAGTGGCTGGGGATATAGCTCAACGGCACAGCGCCTGCCTGGAAAGTGCAAGGTTGTGAGTTCAATCCCCAGTATCAAAAAAAAAAAAAAAAAAAAAAAAAAAAAAAAAAAAGAATTCCATTTACTCAATCCAACACTATAAAAAGATGTCCTCTCTTTGGATAATGATTGTAACTAAAGACCCTGTGTCAAACTAATATCCCTAAAACTGGATCAGAAAACAGAGTACTGTAGAAATTCTGATCACAAATGAACAGCTTATGTGGATCCTTTTCACAATGCTTCTAAAATAACTGTCAGAGAGTTCTAAACTAGACCGTTGGTTATTCAGAACAATAGGCAAATACATGAAGTAATGGAATTGTAAAAATCACTGAAAAAGAACAAGGAGGTATTTAATGGAGTTCTCTTTTCCAAGCCAACAAAGCTCAAATCACTTCAAGAAAAACAAATTTAACTAGTTTCTTGAATAGTAACACTGTGAATTGCAATGGAAAAGGCACACATCCTACAGCAAAGGACATGTAAATTATTCTAGGTTAATAAACATACCCAGTGAGACCAAGTTATCATAGTTCTCCATCATCACATCCCGGTACAAGGTCTTCTGGAATGGGTCAAGATATTCCCACTCCTGCTGAGAGAAGTCTATGGCCACATCCTTGAATAAAATTAATCCCTGAAACAGCAAACCCATGTATTACTGGAGAAATTAAGGAAAAGACATGGAAGAGATGAAGGACCTCAGTGCAGCAAAAGAAAATGACTGGCACAGAAGGTAGAAATCTACAATATGAAGGAAAGGGATGAATACACATATTTTTAAAAGCCTGCTGATACAGACCCACTCACTGTATCTTCTAGAAAATCTCTCAAATGTTTTCCCTTTATGACAAAATAATGATATTTTAATATTAAATTCAATTATTATCATACACATAATGCCTGACTGGTGCTTCATAGATTCACAAAAAGGGTTAGTTAGTGGGGAGGTTTCATTTGGAATAGAATTGAAAATTTTAACTAAGATTTTTTTTTCAAATGTAGTACATAAAGTTTTCATAAAATTAACAAGCATCAAGTACTTCACTATGTAAGATCTTATCATGAGAATTTGTATTTGTTTTCACAAAACAAAAATGGAATTTTGACATTTAACATGATTTTATGGGTTGTTTTGTTTTTGTTTTTTGTGCTAAGGGTTAAAACCAAGGCCTTGCATATATGAAGTATTATGCTACTGAGCTACACTCTCAGCCAATATTTTATAGTATTTACTTCTCTGGATTTTCCATGAAAATTCCTAATTCCTGTATTTTTCCAGTCACATGCAAGATCATACAAAACTTTACCATGCATGAAAGTTTAGATATTTAAAATGTAGCCAAAAATCAATCTCTGGAAAATTTCACAGACTTTTCATGGATAGTAAAATGAAATAATTGTCTCACAAAACAGTAACACTGACATGGAAGAAACTCAATTCCTTTATTCTCTATCACTACCTATAATATAAAACTTGCACAACACTGAATAATTTTGATAATGATATAAGGGCTGGGGGTTGTAGCTCAGTGGTAAGAGTACTTGCCTTGCATGCACAATGCCATGGGCTACATCTGTTAATAATGTCATGAACACTAGTTAATTTACGGTGAGCAATGGAAAGAAAATGCTGGATGATATGGGACACACTTTACAAGAGGAACAAGAACTGTGGAGTAGGTTACTGGAGGATCCTCCCATTGTAGGTAACTCTGGGGAAAAATAATGAAGACTCTTATATGACTTATCAGTGACACACACACACAAACACCAATAAGGAAAGAAACACTGACTTACACAGGCCATGATTTTAGACCTTCAAGAGCAAATCAATGCTGGGGATACAACTCAGCAGAATGGCATTTGCTTGGCAAGCTTGAGGTCCTGAGTTTGATTCCCATTCCAAGAAAAAAAGTGCCAATCTGCTCTCAGCATTCCTCTACCAGCAGGTGCAGTTCCAGAGACTTAGACCTGAAAGAAAGGAAAGACACTGAGATCAGTTGTGTTTTAAGTGTTCTCTGGAGGCTTTGCATCAATATTACTATTATTTATTCATTCCAGGTTCCAAACTACCTCTCGTCACATACAATTTGGAAAGATTAGGGTTTTAGATCAACCCATTTCTTCATCAAATTCCTAGCAATCTCAGCTATATAAAGTCACAAAGTAGGCTGGGGATTTGGCCCAGAGGCACAAGCCCCTGCTTGGCAAGCATGAGGTCATGAGTTCGATCCCCAGTACCAAAAAATAAGAAAACAAAAACAAAAAAAGCCCAGATCTTTACAAGCACAAAGCCAGAGGGCCCAGGCATATATGTACCCTCAAGTAAATCCAGATACTGAGCAGGGCACATTCTGGCCAATGCATCATTTTGCTGAGGTCGATGAAGACCTAAGATCAGGCATAAGATTGAGTCCTGCTGTAATACAGTACACCAACCTCTTTCTATTCCCATCTTCAAGGCTGAAAGAGGCCACATCATTCATATAAAAATGTCTCGTGGTCTTGAGATTAAATGAAATGGTCAAGATATTGAGGATGGACAAGGGAAGCTCAGCATTCTGAATCTAGCAAAGTTTACTGATTACAAGTATGACAGACTATCATCATTGTACTAGAATAGAAAGTAGTAATTAAATGTGAAGTTTAGAAAAATATTTAAAGAAGGGATTCTGATACAAGGTCAACAGAAAACCCAGACTGGCCAGTACATTTCTTTTTGTAAAACACAGAACTACATTAGCTAACAAGGCTAGGAAAACCGATGGACAATAATACAGGAGTCAAATATATAGGGAACTTATATGGCCATATATTTAAAATGCTTAAATTTGGTTTGGACTATTTAAATAAATCACTGTGAATTGAGCTCTGTTTGGTCAGTACAAGAAACAACTGAATAAACCTAAAGTAGTAAACAAAACTCTTGCTTAGAAACTTCTCCACACTTACAATTTGATAATCAGTATTTTAATTTTTGCTTTGATCTTGATTTTTATGTATTTTAAATATTACAATGTATAGAATTTAAAAGGGGGTGACCCAGGATTCCCTCAAATCACTGAAAGCTTATGTTTCTGCCTCCAAGTGTACATTAGCTAGAATTTCATACATACAGCCAAAAGGAACCATCCTGGATGGAATCAGTAGTGCTCACTGCAGGGTTCTGAGGTCAGAGCTCAGGAACACTGTGTTTCTTAAACATATACTTGTATGATACTCAGAAGACGCCCAGGAGGAAGTAACCCTACCAGGAAGAAATCCAATTCTTAGAACTAACAAAGATTCTGTTTGATCCAATTTAAACCAGATTCCTGAACTTTCTTCAAGCCTGTACAGCCTCATTCCCATATCTTTCTGGTTTTCACAGTCTCCACCATCCCACAGGTGAGTCTGATCACCCTGGCTTGTCCAGCAAGAATCCCATTAGGTCAGTTTAGGCACAACCCCTCTTGCTCCTGATGTTCTCTCTATTTTCAATTCAGTGATTTCCCTTCACCTCCGTGTTGCTCCTTGACTATACACTCCCATTGGTCCATGTGGAGCCCATTTCCCATTCACAGCAAAATCTCACTGCAGTGGAACCTGCATCTCTCGCCTGACCCACTGTAAAGTCCTCCTTAACATGTTTCAGCAAGTATCATAAAATAAGTTTTTCTTTAGCAGAATCCACATTTGTTTTAAGTGCGAGTTCTACTTGAAACTTAAACAGGTGCCCGTTTCTTCTCACTGGAAACTTTCACCTAGGGCGCAATATCTGACTCCCCATCCGGGCCACTTCTCTGCAGCAGTCAGTCACAGTGACAGAGGACACAGATAGAGCAGAGGACCTGGAGTTCCTGGGTTACAGAGACGCTCACCATATCGCTGCAGCAACGCATGCACACGTGAAGGATACGCACCGTGTCCCCGCCACACAGCGACAGCCACGCGCTGCTCAGCCTCACAGCTGCTCATCCACCCGGGGTGAGCGCGGCCTCATCCACCTTGCGGTCCCCACAGATGTCACCACCCTCCCCACCAGCTCCCGCCGCGGCGCGCAGCACTGCGACCCACTCTCACCGCCACACTGGGCCCCGCGGGTGCCACGTCTGGACCCACAGAATCTCTTTTGCAGCAACCCACGACCACTCTTCCCTCAAGGGGTCGGAGATACTGAGATCACAGAGTGAGGTGGACTTTGCCTTGATAGCTTGTGGGAAATGTAGTTCACGCCAGACCGTCCAGGTCACAGTCCTATGTGGGAAATGGAGTCCTGGCAACGTGAAAAACAACACCGCTGCATTCTGGGAAAATCGCCTGCGCCCCATCCTCCAGCCTTGAGGCCAGAGCCCACCGAGTCTGGAGTACGCGTGCGCAGATGCCCCCCCCCCATGCTTTGGTGCTTTTTTGTGGAGAAAAGGCTTTACATTATGGTTTTCATTCGCCAAGATAGAGATATACTGAATAAGTTTGATTTTAAAAATATTTTAGGAAACACTGTTTAAGTATTTTTACTATTCTGGTTTAAGAATAGATTTTCTGAACACAAGCAAAGGAGGAACTAAGTAATACCCTGTCTCAAAAAACAAAAAAATTATTTTAATTAAATTTAATTCTCAAAATATATAAGTGAATTGTAGTTAAATATATGAATAAAAGAGTATATATAAATGAATAAATTGCAATGATTTAATTTGAAATATATCAAAGATTGAAATGTGAAACTTTGAACCTGAAATCTGCTAAAGAATATATACAAAAATAAACATTGGAGTAGAAAATTTTTCTTAACACAAAGAAGAAAGTTTTTTAAAAAGCTTATGAGAAAAAATGATAAATTAGACTCCATTAAAATGAAGAAATTTGTTCATCAAAGACATCATCAAGAGAAGATAACTGACAGAAAAAAAACAAATGACAGATGAGGTGATCATAATATATATACTTGATTAAGGACTTGTACACAAAATATACCAACAATTATTGCTATATGTCCTTTATACGTCTTTACCATCAACTGCATGAAATATTAAAATATTTAATTCAACTAGTTAAAAATAAGAGCAAAATGAATTAAAGAACTACATAATAGCAAACGTTATGATAGGAGAATTGAAATTAAAGCATTCTTCAAACCTCAGTTACATGGAAATGATAGACGTCAATTAAATTTGGATTTTCTGAACTCAAATTCTAGTTATACTTCTATACCACTGTGAGAATCAAACAAGAATGAATATTTTCCAAAGGAATAATGGCAAAAAATACACTCAGAATAAGTAAACACAAAAGAAAATCAAAATTAGGAGAAAAATGTGCAGAAAATAAGGCTAGTGCATACCTGTAATCCCAACTACTTAGGATACTGAACCTGGCGGATTGCAAGTTTCAGGCCAACCTGAAACTTTGTGTGACTGTCTCAAAATTTAAAAATAAAGAAAGAAAGGGCTCAGAATGTAGTCTAGTGGTAAAGTTTTTGCCTACCATGTATGAGCCGTTGGTTCAATCTCTGGTACCCACCTCAAAAATGACTCATTTTTATCATCAATTATTGTTTATTCAAATGATTAACTATTTTTAGATGCAAAAGGAGATTAAATGTGAATTTGAAAGCCTGGCTTGATGGTGCAAGCCTGTAATGTCAGCACTGCGATGCTGAAGCAAGGGGATCACAATGAGTTGAGGCCAGCCTGGGCTACATAGTGAGTTAAAGGCCAACCCAAACTAGATGGGAAGACCTTCTCTTTAAAACTAAAAAACCAAACAAAAAAATGGTAATTTAAAAATGTACAAACAGGTGTTTAAATGTATCACATTTAATGCTTAATCAGAAAGGCTGCAATTTCAAAGACGTTAAAACTTACAAACTTAAACAAAACAAAAACTCATATTTGCGAAATACTTACCAAAATAACAAAGTAACTCTGAATCAGACAATGGTGACATTAATTTAAAAAATCACTAGACAGCAAAATAATTATTGCTTACCAAAAAATTCACTCAAAAGATATAATAGTTCTGAAATTATATGTGCTGCATTTTATTTCCTGATGACATTTAATAAAATGGGCAAATATATGAAGCTAAATGGATGATTTTTTTTTTTGTCTTTTTCCTTTTTATAGGTACAGGGGATCGAACTCACGACTGCCTGCTTGCAAGGCAGGCGCTTATGCTGCTGAGCTAAATCCCCAGCCCCAAAATGGATGATTTTTAAATCATAACCTTTAAGGTTTAGCTCTTTGCCACTCATTGAGAATTTAAAACTAACAAAAATATTTGTAAAAATAGAGAAAATGCAACAGGACAATTACAAGCCACATTCCAAAAAAACTGTATCTCATTACTTTTTTAATTTTAAAGTAATTTTAGCCTTTGTAGTAGCAGAATATCAAAAGAAGTACAACAGACCAATAAAATAGAATTGACAGTTCAAAGGAAGCCTTAAGTTTTGATGATTTTCTTCAAGGGAGCCCGAACAATTCAATGGGAGAAATAATAGTCTTTACAACAAACAGTGTTGAATCACCAGGATATACTGTATGCATACAAAAAAATTTTGGTCTGTACCTCGCATCATACATAGAAACATTCAAAATGGATGAAAGATCAATGAGTAAAAGCTAAAACTACAAAACTCTTAGAAGAAAACATAGGGATAAAACATAATGATCTTAGATTAGGCAAAGTTTTCTTAAATATGACACCAAAGGACAAAGACCATAAGAAAAAAACGGATACCATCAAAACTTATTTATTCAAAGAACACCATTAACAAAGTGAAAAGACAGAGAACTAAATAAAGAAAAATGCTGGCAAATCATGTATTTGATATTGTACTTGTATCTGGAATACACAAAAGAGGTTTGTATTAGACAAATGCAATAATTAGACCAATAGCCTAACTCAAATATGGTCAATAGAATATCTGACTAAGTAGTTCTGCAAAGGCAATACTAAGTGCTCAATAAACACATGAAAAGACACTCAACATCGCTAGTCATCAGAGAAAAGGCAACACCACACTGAAATACTGTACTGCTTCACAAACCCTACTTTGACTACAATTCATTAAGACAATAAAAAGTCAAACGCATGGAGTTTGAAACCTCATACACTCTTTTAAACAACATTAAAAGGCATGGACACATCCATACCGTCAAACAAAAAAGATAGACATTTAGAAAGTGGCTGTCAGTTTTGCAAATTAAAATGCATTATTATGTGACCCAGAAATATACTCCTAGACATTTACTCAAGAGAAGAAAGAAAATGTGTGCACACAAGTGTTTGTACACAGATGTTTTTAGCCACATTGCTCATGGTAACCAAAAAGTATAAACAAATATCTATCACTTGATGAATAGATAAAAAACTTTGATATATTCCAGTAATTAAATATCATTTGGCAATAAAAAATGATACAATAGAGATAAACCTTCAAAAGACTATCCTGAAAGGATTCAGTCACAAAGCTCACAAACAGCAGAATCTCATTTATATGAAAGATCCAAAACAGGCAAATTATAGTGATCAAATTTATATTAGTGGTGGCCAAGAAGGGTGCAGATAATAGCTAAGAGATAAGAAGTTTTTGAAGGGAGTATTAAAAATGTTCTACGATTGATTATGATTATACCTGCAAAAAATACAGTAAATGAAGTTTACAATCAAGAGGACTGAATGGTATTTAAGGTGTATTTTGAAGTGTTGTTAAAAGATATTACAGAGTTTCTGCACAGTTTTAATGTGAACATCTTACACAAAGTACTTGCCCAAACTAAGAAACTAACATTGGCACAAGGTAATGAATGTTTTGGGTTGTGTGTGACTTTTGTTTGCTTGTTTGTGTTTTGAGACAGGGTCTCCATATGTATTTTGGGTTGGCCTTTGATACACTACATAGCCCTGGCTGTCCTCAAACTCACAGTGATCCTCCTATCTTAGCCTAGCAAGTGCTGAGATTCTGGAAGTCCACCAACACACTCAACTTGCATTATAGTAAATAAATCACATTCTATTTGGATTTTAGCAATTTTTCCATTAGCTTTGCGTTTCCATTTTGACTGAACCAGAATTCCACTTTGCATTGAATTGTCACGTCGTATTAGGCTTTCCCAATTTGTGCTGGAATTTTCAGCTTTAACTTCTTTTGTTGTTGTTGTTGTTGTTATTGTTATTGTTTGTTTTGTTTTGTTTTAGTACCAGGGATCAAACTCATGATCTTGTGTTTGCCAAGCAGGTGCTTATACCACTGAGCTAAAGCCCTGGCCCCCCAGTCTTAAATCCTTGAACTCAACACTTTTCAGAAATACTAGTTATTTTGTAAATATGCTTCAATTTTTCTCAAGTTCTCTCATCACTAAATTGAGATTATAATTTTTAGCAACAAGGTGACAAGAATCGATGTGACTTTCCTTCTCAGTGTACCATATAAGGTGATTCATGATAATAGTCTTTTCAGTGGTAAATAATTTGCTTAAGTTTGCAACTTCTAGATTTCTTTACCATAACTTCTAGATTTCTCAGGCAAAAATATTAAACCACTAGAAATAACAAAAAAATGAAGTGCTATGGGAGAGATACTGACATAGGAAAAATCCTGTTTCCTTAAATTTTTGCCCAATAATTCTAGCATCAGCCCAGTGCCTAAACTAATTACTACAATGTGTTTGGTGATATTTTTAAAGTTTTTATCTTCCCTTTCATATTTTTATGTATTAAACATGAATTTTCTTTGGACTGGGAAGCTCAGCTTTTGATAGTACGAGCATTAGGCTGAGAAAATAACCTAGCATCTCTGGGTTGAAGTTAGGTTCTATATTATGGAAGGCCTGGGAATGCCGCTCAGTGGTATAGGGATTGCCTATCATGAGCAAGGCCCAGGTTCAATCCGCAGTACCACAGAAAAGTATTTTACTTATATATGAGATATATATGATATCTTATCTTATATATATCTCATATATATATCTTTTATGCTATCCTTTAACCATACTCATATATATATCTTTATATATGAGTATGGTAAAAGTATACTCATATATATATCTTTATATATGAGTATATATATCTTTATATATGAGTATATATATCTTTATATATGAGTATGGTAAAAGTATAGCATAAAAAATTATATAATTCAGCATGAATGCTAAAATTGCATGGAACAGCAGGAAAAATGAGATCGAAGGTGAAAGCAATATGAAGCAATTATGTTCTAATAATTTTGCAAGAATTCCTTATCGAAGGATATTGGAAATAATAAAAGAGAGGCAAATCTTCACGAGATGGTTGTATAATAAAAACCAACATGAAACTTCTGTGTTTTAGGAAAAATTTTTCTTTGTTCATTTTAAAGTGTTATAATGTAATATTATATTTATGTCCTGGTTTTGTGGATTTTATTGATACTTTCAAACTCTATTTTTTCATCCATTTTTCTCTATTATTTTTCTCCTATTTATGTTCTACTCTTAGTCATTTTCTTTTTCTGCTTGTTTTTGGTATAATTTGGTGTTTGTACTTTAAGGCAAGAATCAATGATTTACAAGTTTTTTTCTAATATGAGTGCTAAAGCTATAAATTTCCTGCTGCACACTGATTTATTTGTTTTTCATCAATTTTGATGTTCTTGTTGCATTCAAATTATTTTTATATTTCCCATTGTGATTTTTTTCGTGGACACAAAGATTTCGGTATCAGGGATCGAACTCATGACCGCCTGCTTGCAAGGCAGGTGCTTATGCCACTGAGCTAAATCCCCAGCCCCAGACACAAAGATTTAAAAGTACATAGTTTAATTTCCAAGATTTGATTATTTCCCAAATTTTTCCAAATTAGGACTCAGTATAAACTGAGTCCTAATTTATACTGCAACAGTAAAAGTTTGTGTTTTATTCCTTAAAGTTTTCTATTCCTTTTTTCCTTTTTTTTCATTACTTGGTATATGCTTACTGGAAAGCACGTTTAAAGATATACAAATATATAAGATTTTACAAGATTGTCTTACAGTGGCCACCCACACAGTCATAATGTACAAGAATGTTAGGTCTGTCTGAATGCTGGGGATCTGGAGGATCTGACTTAAGAAAGTATAAAATACCTGTAGACCACTGTTGTGTCTCTGCAAAGTCCACATCAGGAGGTTGAAGGGTATGTGACAGAGGCTAAAGAGTCTGCACTAGAAGCCAGGAGATGATGCCCAAGGTGAAGGCAAAGACTGGAGCTCCGCCAAAGAAAGAGAAGCAAGTCTTTTTTTTATTTTCCTTTTATACCATTCTGGCGACAAGCTTCCCTAGGTTGTGTTCTCCAACCCCACATCTATGCTGATCTAATTTAGTTGGCTTTTTCTTGGTCAACAAAATGAACAAAAGAGACAAATAGAAAATGTCACGGTAAATATTGTGGTTGGCCAATAACTACACATAAAATTGACACAATTAATTATCGCACTGGGGCTTAACTGCTGGTAGGAATAGAAACATGTCTAAGCATTTAATATTCTGGAGGAGTAGTTCAGTAATAGAGCACTTTCCTGGCATGTGCAAAATTCTGAATCTGGTCTCCAATACCACAAAAAACAAGCAAACAAAAGCCAAATAGCAGCAATAAACTTTAAGAAAGAAAACCAAATGAATAAAAAACAGGGGCATAGGATTTAAAGCAAAACCAAATGAATAAAAAACAGGGGCACAGGATTTAAAGCCAAGTTTTATCTAACTTTTAATAAATAATAGCAACAACACAGTTAATATTATATCCTCAATTCTGAGTATTAATATGTAAATGCCTATATTGATATCATTTTTGAATATGTATTTGCTAAAAGTTTTGAACAATAGTCACAAGAAAAGCAAGCAGCTTACTAAAAAAAAAAATGTATCATGGCAAAGCATGCTATATCCCAAACATGGTTGAAAATGAGGAATCTATGTAAATGACCACATTCTTATATCAAAGGAAAATAGAACAAAGCAAACGATGCAATGTTATTTAAAAAAATAGCCTGAATCACAGAATATATCTGGATACAAAAATGAAATATTAGTTTAATGATAATATATTGATTTTCATTAAGTTGATAAAAGACAAATATTGACTACAATTCTAATACTTGGCATACCATATTTATTTTTAAAAAGTTATTTGAGAAAATTTAATCTCTAATCATAGATGACATGCATAAATATTTAGAAATTCCACATTCTATAAAAATATTATTAGGGTTTTTTAGACTGAAAATAGCAATATACAAATATAATATAATATAATATAATATAATATAATGGTACAAAAGGATAACACTATTAGCACAATAAGTAAAATCATGGATGTACTTTAAAAAGTCACTATCCAGGACCAGGGATTTAGCTCAGCAGCATAAGCACTTGCCTGGCAAGCGCAAGGTTGTGAGTTCAATCCTTGGTACAAAATAAAAAAGTCACTATCCAAGAAAAAAAAAGCATTAAATAAACAAGAAAAGAATCAAGGCCTTGGGCATGTATATGTATTCTACAAATAAGTCAGTCAACAAAATGAACAAAAGAAGCAAATAGGAAATGTCACAGTAAATATTGTGATTGGCCAATAAATACACATAAAATATATTTAATGGTTTAAAAATATTTTAAGTGGGAAACTGAGTTAAAGAATACTTTTATTTCTAGTTTACATGGTTATAAATTATACACCATACACCAATTTCCAAATATAAGCTATGTGACATACTTATTTACAAACTCTATTTGAAGCTCACAATATTCAAGGTAGAGTTTGAAAAATTATCAATAACCTAACTGCTGATCTACACAAAGTTTAAAAACATATAGGAATATTTGCAGTTTCAGGTGTGAGGCTTCTCATTTTGTAGAAAAGTAACAGTATTATGGTACAGAAAAAGTTAGCTAGTACTACCTTAATAAACTGACTGCTGTCTCACTGGGGCTTAATCATATAACCTACTGTTGAAATTCAACTTTAAGGTCACTCCATTAGGTTTTAGCAGCACTTCAATATACAGTTTCACATCCCAAATGTTAGTAGGCAACAGGAATGGAAAAATATTTAGATATACTGGATGATGGGGAGGCAAATAAATTTTATATATAACACACAGCAGTCTTGATTTGATTGACTGACTGAAAGACTGATTGAAATAGGGTCTTACTATATAGTTCAGCCTGGCCTCAAAACTCAGAGCAATCCCCCACTGGGATGACAGATGTGAGCCACTATGTTGGGTTCTTCCAGTTTTATTGAGAGGTTGATTATATGCTACTGATTGTCCCAAGAGTGGGACAATGTTTCACTGGCTTTTCTAACAGCAACAATTTTTTCAGTATTAAGTATCATTGGTATGCAAACCTATAGTAAAACTTTTCTGTATGTGTTAAATTTTCAAAATTTAAACAACTGCATAGGGGAAAATGTTAACATTTAATAGGAAATTATTTATTCCACAAGGATAAACAGATCATTATGTAAAATTACACTATCACTGCAGACTTTTGGCTGGTAATGCATAATGCATGAATGTTCCTTAGTCTGAAAAGCTAGTAATTTTGAATAGACTGGTAGTGATTTTAGGTAGCTAACAACTCTAATTCTATTTACTAATTTAACTGGGAATTAAATCTAGGGCCCTTGAACTGAGCTACTTTCCTATTTACTTCTTTCTTTCTTTTTTTGTGATACTGGGGATCGAACTCATGATCTCGTGCTTGCCAGGCAGACACTTACTCCACTGAGCTAAATCCCCAGCCCCCTATTTACTTATTTCTAATTTTTAATTTTTTTAGATAGGGTGTTGCTATGAAGCCCAAGCTGGCCTTGAACAGGTAGTGATCCTACTTCCGCAGCTTCTCCAGCACTGAGGCCACAGGTATGGGATATCATGCCTGGTTGCTTATTTATTTAATTTGTGGTACTGGAGATTAAACTCGGGAATTTTGCATTGAGATACTCTGAGAAAGGATCTTCTTAAATCTTTAATTTCCTACATGGGATTTGAATTTGTAATTGTATCTCAGCTTCCCAGAGTGCTGGAATTACAAATGTGCATAGCTATGCCTAGCTATTAGTTTTTCTTAATATTGGCTTAGAAGTTTTCTTCCTATTAGCTTTATTAATTAAGTATTGCCTCTAGCTACACCTTTATTAAGCTGTGTACCACTTAATAGGTGAACAAAATAACACAATTTAGTTTCCTACATGTGTTAGTGGGTTTATATTTTCAAATGAATCTATCAGTATAATAGATCTTTTCAATGGATAACTGACAACTGATACAGGTTTTACAATGCAGCATTAATAATCATGCAAAAATCTAACATGTGCAGCATCTTTCATGAAATATCTTTGTTAAAAATCTAATCTCAAAGTAATAAATTCTCTAAATTCCAATTTATAGGCAAACTGAGGGACAGAGCAATAAATTAAATCGTATCAAGAGGAATATATCAAGAATGTAAGATACCTTGACAGTTAAAAAAAAAACCCATAGAATAAAAAAGGCAATATATTACCCCAGAGAAAAAAAGAATACTTTTGTTTAAAAATGCAATAAATGGGCTGGGGATTTAGCTCAGTGGTGTAAGTGCCTGCCTGGCAAGTGCAAGGTCATGAGTTTGATCCCTGGTACCAAAAAATAAAAATAAAAAATAAAAATGCAATAAATTAAACCAGAGTGAATTCTGATTAGAAATTAAACCCAAGTGAATTGTGATTAGAAAATAACTATTAAAAACATCACTTCATGAATATTTAAGAACACTACAGAAATTATTAAATTTTCCTCTGTGGTTACATTATCACAATTATCCAGAAAATATGCTTATTACTTATTGGTGATGTGACATGATATTTGCAACTTAGTCACAAATGATACAGAACTAACTCATAATAATAAGAGTTAAAATGAGGTTTGGGGATACAACTACAGCAAGTGGTAAATAGTCACCTAGCATGGATGTAATACCCAGAACCACAAAAAAGAGCGAGGCTTAAAATGAGATGACTAAAGCAAATAACTAGAATGTAAACATGTAGTAATGAGTTACAATATATTTCTTTCAATTTTTCTATATGTTAAATAAAAATATTCATTACAAATTTAGGAAAAACTCTGAGAAGACAATTTGCTTTTTGCTATCCCATTACTAATTTTTACTTTATCTTAAATTATGAGTACAGAATATGAAGTAATGACTACTATTTAAATCATATACACTATAATTTTACTTCCAAAATTATGTAAAACTTAATATCAATGGCTCTAAGAATCTGTTCTAAATTACATTAGAATCTTTCAAAATAATAAACTATTAGCAATACAAATAATAATCTGAGCACAAAATATATGCTAAATAATCTTCCAATATATGTATACTACTTTAATCCCAATAAAGACACAGTCAGGTAGATTCTTCTTTGTTTCTGTTTTATTTTGTTTTGAAATAGGGTCTTGCTATGTAATTTAGGCTGGCCTTGAACTTGTGGCCATCCTCCTGCCTGAGCCTCCCAAGAGCTGGCATTATGGGTGTGCATCAACATACCTAAGTTCATGTAGGTTCTTGATTATCATTTTATAAATGATAAAATGAGACCCCTAGGTAATAACTACTTTTCTAGATATGTGATACTGGGGATTAACTGTATGGCCTTTACACAAATCCAATACTTTAGTTTTTAAATTTTGAGACACAGCCTTGTTAAATTTCCGAGTTGGAATTGATCTTGGGATGCTCTTGCCTCATCAATGTTGGAATTAACAGCTAAGGGCTACCATGTCCAACTATGTGGTACGATTAAAATATATGGTAAACGTTTAAACTTTTAAAATTTTATTACAGTTAAAAGCACATTATCATTAATTATCCTAGAGATATTCCCCCTCACTCCAAACACACTTATCAGATTTTTGCCACTTTCTGAAGCAGTTCTAGAATTCCTCTTTCATGAATCCCTTCAACTACACTACCATGTATACCTCAATATTCCAAAATGATTAAAAACTATCTTCATGGTCATGGTCATTTTGACTTTGAATAAGAGCCAGAGGTTGTACAGTGCAAGATCTGGTGAATAAAGTGGATGAAGACACACCATAACGTTTTTCACAGATAGAGCCATAAACTTGTTGAATTTAGGACATTAAGGGAGACACCAAAAGACACAGGCTCAAATATATAAAAAATACAGGAGTAACTAATTATGAAGGAAAAAGACCCATGGAAGGTAATCGAAATTCCCAAGTAATGATGCAAGCTCTGGAGGATTGGGGGGTGGGTAGTAGATTGTGTAGAAAAAAATTATTAAAATGTAGTGTGGTTAGAACACAATCTAAGCCTAATTGATAGGGTATTGATTCAAAGTTGTTCCACTTAGGAGTTTGAGTCTCAAAATACTTAACCTCCTCAGTGGGACTTAAAAAACTGCCAAGGGGGGCTAGGGGTTTGGCTCGGCGGCACAAGTGTTTCCCTGGCAAGAACAAGATTGTGAGTTCAAGCCCTGGTACAAAAAAAAAAAAAAAAAAACCTGGCAGGGGAAAGCCAATGGAAAGCTTGTCCTCGTCATTAGCATGGTGATTAGTTCAGAGGAACACATAAGGACTTCAGTTATGTGCCTACAGCAGGTCATCTACTCCCCATAGAATACACAAAACGACTAGTAAAAAACATTTAAGATTTCAGTGAGATCGAAATGTGACACCATTCAGTAAGTGAATCACCATTCTGTGAGAAAACTACCTGAGTAACCATTCTGTTCATAGAAGCAAGTGACTAGGTTCACACCACATTCAAATAGAAGGAAATCAAACTTTAGTTTTGTGGATATATTTTAAAAACGTCACCACTGGCATTCTCAGTACATCTTTTATATTCCTACCACATGCAAAATATGCTCAAGAATCCACTGAAGTCTCATCCTTTTACACGACCAATCTTCAGTCTAGAATTTCCTCATCTAAGTCCACCATGGATGAGAATAGCTTTCTGCTCTCACTTTTTACTGTGTGCAGTTTTGCTACTACAACGAAATACTTGAGGCAGCCTGGCTTCATAAAGAAGTTTATTTAGCTCACCATTTTGAAGATGTAAGGCGCAGTACTGGTCAATGCTCAGCTCAGGTGAGGGTTTCATGGCCAATGTTATCCCAGTAGTGGGAGTGTGTAAGGCAGGAAGAGATCGTGTCCAGGAAGACAGAAAGTGACTGGGGTTCCACAATCTCTGGGGTTTCACACTGCTTTCTGAGGGCAGAGCCTCAACTGACCTAAGGATCTCTCCATGGGTTCCACCTCTTAAAAGTTCTGTACAACCTCTTATATCATCAAACTGGGGACCAAACTACAAAGACGTGAACGCCAGGAGGGTGTACTTAAATGATATCCAAACCATGATACACTAAGCTAGGTGTGACTGAGTCTATACAGCAGATTCATTCCCAGGAAAGCCTCCACCTGACCACAATCTCATGGAAAACCCAATCGTCCTGGATTTCTGGCCCACAGAGCCTGTGAGAGATGTTGATTATTGTTGTAAGAGTTGGAGTAATTTGTAACATAGTCAGTGATGTCTAGTATAGGCAGCTTTTAGTCATTCAGAAAAAATTCCATGTCATGAATGTTATAGACATAGACAAGAAATTGAGATTCCTATTTTATTTTTGTCAGTAAATAGTTAGATATTAAAAGAATTCTGACACTGACTCCCTCTTCTCAGTACTGAACAAAGAACATTAGCACTAAGCCATATCCCCAGCCATTTTTTAATCTAAAACTGGGTCTTGCTGGGCATGATGGCACATGTCTGTAATCCTGGTACTCAGGAGGCTGAGGTAGGAGGATCACTACAAGTTTGAGGACAGCTTGGGCTACACAGTGAGACCCTGTCTCAAAAAAAAAAAAAAAAGGAAAAGAAAGGCAAGGCAAGGCAAGGAAAAGAAGGCAAAGGAAAGGAAAAGAAAAGAAAGGAAAGCAAGTCCCTAAATTTCCCAGGCTGGGTTTAAACTTGGGATCTTCCTGCCTCAGCCTCTTAGAATGTTGGGATTATAAGTATGCACCACCATGTCTGAATACTTTACAATGTGGCAAGTACTGCATTATAAAGTCTCTCATTTGCTAAAGCTATACCTATGTAACAGTCAATTATTTCTCATCAAAATGAACTGTCAGATGTTGAAAATGTTTGAGTCATCTCTAAAGGTATTTTCACAGTCCTTCAATTCTTAGATTTGCAGACCAGTATGAATTCCCTGATGTGCTTTAAGGGCTGATCCATATCGGAAGGTCTTCCCACACTGCTCACAAACATAGGGTTTCTCACCAGTATGAATTCTTTCGTGTTGAACAAGGTTTGAAGATCGAATAAAGGCCTTTCCACATTCCTTACATTCATGAGGTTTTCTACCAGTATGAATTTTCTGATGTTGTGTAAGGTATCCACACATTTTAAAGGTCTTTCCACATTCTTTACATTCATAGGGTTTCTTATCAGCATGAATATTCTGATGTGCCATCAGGTGTGAACTACGTCTAAAGGTCTTCCCACATTCTTTACATTGAAAAGGTTTCTCATCAGTATGAATACTCTGATGTAGAGTGAGATTTCTACAGAAAGTAAAGGTTTTTCTACATATTTTACATTCGTAGGGTTTAACGCCAGTATGGATTTTCTGGTGTTGATTAAGATATCCATGCAAGCTAAAGGCTTTCCCACATTCCTTACATTCAAACGGCTTTTCACCAGTATGAGTTTTCTGATGTTGAACAAGGTTTGAGCGAGTAGTATAGGCCCTCCCACATTCCTGACATATAAAAAGTTTCTTACCAGTATGAATATTCTGATGACGGGTAAGATTCCTATACAGAGTAAAGGTTTTATTACAGTCCTTGCATTCAAAGCGTTTCATACCAAGATGAATTTTCTGATGTTGACTGAGGTATCCATGTAAGCTAAAGGCTTTCCCACATTCCTTACATTCATACGGTTTCTCGCCAGTATGAGTTTTCTGATGTTGAACAAGGTTTGAGCGAGTAGTATAGGCCCTCCCACATTCCTGACATTCAAAAAGTTTCATACCGGTATGAATATTCTCATGACGAGTAAGATTCCTATAAGAACTAAAGGTTTTTTTACACCTCTCACATTCAAAGCATTTCAAACCAAGATGAATTTTCTGGTGTTGTCTGAGATATGCATACAAACTAAAGGCCTTCCCACATTCCTGACATTCATAGGGTTTCTCATCAGTATGAGTTTTCTGATGTTGAAAAAGTTTTGAGCCAGTAGTACAGATCTTCCCACATTGCCTACATTCAAGTTTGTCACTAGTATGAAGATCCTGATGTCGAGCAAGATTCTTATATAAAATAAAAGTTTTTTTACACTTCTTGCATTCATACGGCTTACCACCTTTATGAATTTTCTGATGTAGAATTAGGTATGAAGCAGTGTTATAGCCCTTTCCACATTCTTTACATTCATATGGTTTTTTGCCAGTGTGAATACTCTGATGCACAGTAAGCTGACGATCTCTTCTAAAAGCCTTCCCACATTTCTCACACACAAATGGTTTCTCATTAATATGAATTTGCCTATGTTCAACGAGATTGGAGCACCTACTAAAAGCCTTCCCACATTCCTTACATTTATAGGGTTTTTCACAAGTATGAATTCTCTGGTGATTTCTAAGATGGCCAATTTGACTAAATGTTTTCCCACATCCCTGACATTTATAAGGCTTTGCACCAGTGTGAATTCGCTCATGTTGAACAATGTGTGAGGAATATATAAAAGCCTTGCCACATTCTCGACACTCATATGTTTTCTCACCAGTATGAAATCTCTGATGTACAGTAAGTTGATAGCCACTTTTAAAGTTCTTCCCACATTCTGTACATTCATAGGGTTTCTCACCAGCATGAAATCTCTTATGTAGTGTCAGTTGATAGCCACTGCGACAGTTCTTCCCACATTCTTTGCATTCATAGGGTCTCTCAATATGAAACCTGTGATGCAGAATAAGTTGATGGCTGCTACTAAACTTCTTCTGACATTTCGTACATTTATAGAGTTTGTCTCTGGGATATATGCTCTGGTGTTGTGCAGAAGATTTATCCTTTTCGTGAGTGGGAATTTTTAGATAGCTGATTATCTTATACTGTAAATTCAAATCTGAAACAAAATGATGAAGACAAATCATATTTCTATTTCTACTCCAGAGAACATGAAACATATAAAAATAAGAAGAAACACTCATAAGTGAATGTCTTACAGAATTCTAAAATACAGAAATAAAATTTGAAAAAGGCCAGAAATTCAGAGATATACAAGAATTTATATAACATAGAGGTCACTGACTAAGGGCATAGGTAGTATAAGAGTCCGAATCTGTGACAAGCTTATTATAAATCTGATGTCTTGAAACTGTTAAGAGACCAGATGAATTAGTATTAAGAGGAAAACCTTGGCATCATTACTTTCAACTTTTCAGTAAGGTAGATGCAGACAGATGTTTAAGAATTCATTTTTATATTTTTTCTAGTAACTTCTTTTTATTCTTAGAGTAAAATTAAAGCCCCTTTTCAAAGACAGTGGGACTCCTGCTTACCTATAAAACTTACCTATTACCTCATGTCAGCACAATAATGCTTTTACTATCTCCTAGTATATGCAAATTTTCCTGTCACTTACTATTTCTACAGATTATTTTATCTCCCAAGAATCCTTGACCTTAGCACTTCTCTTTTCTTTTCACTTTTCAGTATGGGAAGTGAACTGGGATGTTTTGCATTGAGCTATAATCTTCAGCCTTTTAAAATTTATTTTGAGATAGAGTCTCATGAAGGTGGTAAGTTGCCCAGGCTGGACTTCATCTTGTGATCTTCCCTGTGTCCTGTAGCACTGAGGTTATAGGAGGGTGCTAACATTAGCGCTGTGTAGGCTGGGTCCTTTTCATTCCAGAATAAATGTTCTTTAAAACAAAACTTATTTTTTTAATTGTAAGTGGGTTCATGCCTCTTTTTCTTTATATTCTAACATTTCATTTCTTTGTTTTCAATTATATCATTAATTCTTACTTGATATACTTACTGTTTTATTTAAATGTCCTTAAACTTCCCCAAGCGCAGACACAGTTCCTCGGTGTTCTAGTATACTGCTAAATAACCTTTTCTTCTTTAGGTAGGGTGGACTTTTGGAGTCTCACTGAGTAGTTCAGGTGGTCTTGAACTCACTACGTAGCCCAGGTTAGCCTCAAACTCGTAGTGACTCTCCTGCCCCAGCCTTCCCAAGTGCTGGGATTAATGTGTGGGCCATCATGCCTGACTGATAACTACCGCACTTATGTCACTTAAATTTTACCATTCCTTGTCTATCCTATATATGCTAACTGTATTGCCTCATGTTCTTTCCCAGGTCTTTCCTTTCTTTTCTATACCGTCAAGGACAAACATTCTTGTATTTTCCAGATAATTATTCTGATACCTTTCATCAAAAATTCACTGAAATATACCTAAATAAAAATCTTAAATTGTTTATATTTGCAGATGTTGGAAAGAATAAGGAACCTACCACATGGAGAAAATTTCTGGGGTAGAAGATGTCTAGAACTACATTTAAAAAAAAAAAGAAAATGTCAGATGTGCACTGGAAGATGGCAATCCAGATTAGATGCAGGAGAAGAGAAAGCATTCCCATAGAATGAGACTCACATGGATCCAAGGCAGTGGGAATACATAGGTGATTCAATTTTTGCACATGTAAAAACAAATGAAATAATAAAATATTGTATGATCACAGAAATAACACTGAAAAGGGCTGGGAATTTAGCTCAGCAGCACAAGTGTCTGCCTGGCAGAGGTTGTGAGTTCGATTCCTAGTACCAAAACAACAACAATAAAAAAACGACATCAGAAAACAAAGAATAACCCTCTAGGAAAAACAAAAGCTCTCTATTCACTAAATGCTAGGTCAATGAATACGGAGGGGCAGATGAATACTTTCAAAATATTTGACTTGCAGCCAGCTGTGGTGGCCCACACTTGTAATATCAGCATGCTGGGAAGCTGAGGCAGGAAGATCACAAGTTCCAGTCCTGCCTGGCAGCTTAGTAACTTAATAAGATCCTATCTCAAAATTTAAAAAATTAAAAAGGGTTAGATGTCTGACTCAGTGTGAAGGTCCGGAATCAACCTCACATACCACACACACACACACACACACACACGCACAAAAAGTCAGGAGACTGAGGCAGGATTATTGCCAAGTGTTTGAGGCCAGCCTATGCTACACATTCAAGCCAGCCTGGGCTACATAGGGAAAACTTGTCTCAAAAACCACCCAAAACAAAAAAAATCTATGTTACATTAATAAAATAAGCATTGAAATGAGAAATCAAGATAGGCAAAAAATGAACGAAGCCTATACTTCAGTAGTATAATAACTATACTGCTGAGACAAAGGGTATCTCAACATAAATTAAATTTAGAAAAAGATAATCAATACAAATAAAAAGGGTAACTCTTAAAAATGCAATCTAAGCTAAGTGACAAATAAAGGAAAGAGAGCAAAAAATAAAGAGATTTTATGGGTTGGGGATGTAGTTCAATGGCAGGAGAATGTACTTAGTATATGAGTATGTGAAAAGTCTTGAGTTCAATCCCAACACCAAGAAAAGAAGGAAACAAAGAAAAAATGAAGCTGGGCATGGTGGCTCATGCCTGTAATCTCAGCACTCAGGAGGCTGAGGCAGAAGAATCGTTGCGAGTTCAAGACCAGCCTAAGCTAAAAAGTGAAGTGAAGGTCAGCCTGAACTGCATAGTAAGACCCTGTCTCAAAAAGACAAAAAAAAAAAAAAAAAAAAAAAATTGAAAAAACAAGAAACATGTTTACTATATAAAATAAATTTGAAAACAGATATAATAGGAAAATACAAACTGATACTATAAAAGATAAAATGCTTTAACAGACAAATTATTTCCATTCAAAAATTTCAAGAGGCTACTACCAAAAGTACCCTAACCATTTAACACTGTCTCTCATATTCCTCACTAACCCAAAACCTCTTAGCTCTACATATTCACTAAAAATAGGATAAGATGTTAGTATCTTAGAATAATATCCTTGACTCACACCATTATTTCTTACTACTTTCCACTATCATAAGGAACTTTTCAGAGAAATGCTTGATTCCAAGAATGGGGGCAGGGAAAACACAAGGTAAATCTTAGACTCCTAGGACAAAGAATTAAAGAATTTATGGCTCTGTTAAGAACATATGTCTGAGTTTGAGCTGTAAAAATTAATTATGTTGGATTAAGTAAGCAAATAAAAAATAAATCCATAATGATTATTTAGGAAATAAATTATTTTTAGCATTTTTATCAGTAAATCATACACTACAAAATTTTTTTCCTAAAAATTTTATAATTAGTAAAAATATATTTTCCTAAGTGTTCCAATGGAATTACGTTTTGAGGTACTCAAATGGCTATAGTTGATCAAGTCAACAAAAAATTTTAAAAATCATACCAGGATTTTTAAAAATTACCTAACAAGTCCCAAACTTCTTAAAGTAAGTAGGAAGATGCAAGGCACAGGCCTGTAATCCCAGCACCTTGTAGGCTGAGGCAGGAGATCATCACCAGTTTAAGGCCAGCCTGGGCTACACAATGAATTCAAAATCAGTCTAAACTGCATAGTGAGACCCTGTCTCAAAAACACCTTCCAATGAAAGGTACAAGGGCTCTTGGAAAAAACTGCTCAGCCTAAGAGCAACAAAGGATAAAAACAAGATAAACCAAGGAATAGGGTTTTTAAGGGAAACAATGATTTTTTTAAAACAGAAATCAAATGAAAAAAGCCACCAATATTCAAAGTTGGAAGAGTATGGGAAAAAATAATGCAATATTCCAGTTTAACAGAAGTATAAAATAATTATAAGTCTATAGTAATTGGGGGAAAAACCCAAATCTTTCTTACAAGTGAATTCTAGGTAATATTAGTAACCTGGAGAGCATAACATGGGGTTCCATAAACAAATCCTTTTCTACTATAAATTTTTACTTCAGTGTCACAGTAGCCTGCTGTGCCTCTCAGGAGCTGAGCCTGGAGAATACAGGAAGCAATCTTTATGTTTACTCACTTAATAACTCTTAGTGTCTAGATATGGACTTCTAAATGCCATTCTCCGAAGTGGGGTAAATAAAAAGAGGAATCAGTATCTTTGGATAATTGGCTGATTCCAGGACTGGAGCAGGAAAAATATCAGCTGGCTCTAGAGTAACACCATATAGTGCCAGAAAGTAAGAGGTGCCCACCAGGGGAGGGGGGCAGATTGCAAGGACACAGGAGTCAACCAGAAATAACCCCCAAAGGCCAAAGCCCAACAAAAATGATAAAAGTTCTGGACCGTAATACATGGAATAAAATACATATCTATGAGTCAGTATTAATATAAATAATTGAATAAATAAATGACAACGGAGAAGAATTCTCCTGATGTTCTCCCTATAGAACAAATGTAGGAAAATACTTCAATATTATGCAAATATTTAAGTAAAAACTGATACAAGCAAAATTCATTGGTGGATGCTAAAAACAGATGAAAGTTGAAGGTGAAATAGGATATGTGTGTTGTCTTAAGAGTATTTCCCCCAAGATAAGTGTAAATAAGGGAAATAGTAATATTACTGTGGAGAAACCCAATAAACATCCCTTAACAAGTGATCAGTGTTAACAGGACCAGTAATAACATACATCCACTTCGCACTGACACAATGCACCAAAAAGGACACCACATTTTGCTCTGAGGCAATTAGCAAAAATAAATACAATTTACTTATAAAAAGTTATCAGGCCCATCAGGCTGAAGACCTGTCTACATAACTGTTCTCTTAAAAAATTAAGAACATGACAGACAGGAAAGTTCATGAAACTGTTTATAGGTTGGAAAATAGATAAAAGAAATATACAGATTCAAAAGACAGCACCAGTCATGGTGGTGCACTACTCCTATAATCCCAGCACTCTGGGAGGCTGAGAAAGGAGGATCCCAGGTATGAGCCTAACCTGCGCAATTTAGCAAGACACTGTTTCAAAAATAAACAAATTTAAAAAGGGCTGGCCATGTAATTCAGTGCAAAGGCCCTAGGTCCAAGCCCCAGTAGTGAGGG